CGACAGCAACCACAGCACCAAGGCAGCAATCCACACCCACTCTCTCCGGTATTCTCCGGTATCGCCTTCACATCCGACTCGATTGCTGCGACCGACACCCCGATGGGGAACCACAAGTGCCTCTGTGATACTGAATTTTGCCGAGTAGACGGCGGACACGCAACCATACGGACGCCGATTGACCCTGAGAAGAGAGCAAGCTGGTGCCACGCCCTTTTCGGCCGGAGCGACCTCCCGAGGCCAGTACGCGACGCAATGATTTCCGCTGCTCACCTAGGAGCCTAGAAGCCGAGAACACTATCAACTCGGTGGATGGTAGTACGTTGGGTGTGAGGGTTAAAGATGGAGCTCTGCCAGATCAGTCAAGCGACGAAATGTTCAATGCTTCGAGGCGTGCCCTTGCAAGAAGTCGGAAGTCCGATGCTCTGGTGACAAGATACAGGGCAGCACTGCTGGATGACAACGAGGAACAGCGACGACTTAATGGCGAGGCGAGGAAGCTTGGGCTACGCATCTCGGTGCTGAAGGCGGAGCTTAAGGAAGCGAAGCAGAACGAGAGGAATGCAAAGAAAGCGGCAGGAACAGCCCCTGGTGTGATTGGGATCGACCACAACTTACCGCGTTGCAGCAGCCTGTGGGAGTTCGCTCCCTCGTCGATCTCAACGACCATGAATCTCTCGAGGTAAGACCCATGTTTATGGTCACCAAATCTTTGAAGAAAATCTTCAAATGCTGTCAAACATTTGCGCGCGAATATCTGCCAGAGGAACATTTGATGTTTGGGGTGCTCGGCAGAGTATACTGTCTACGGGGCCTCCGGGGGGTACGCGGATGAAATGTGTTGATGGGCATGCTGCATGGCGATGGTGTTGCCTACCGCATGTCTCTCACTCTCTAATCAACCAAGGTCTTGAGTCAACCTTCTTTCTCTTTCGGCCTCTGACGGGCTACCGCACCCAAACACAATGTATTGTATGGCCTGGTGTTGGTAGTGGGTATTGGCGTCTGAGCTGTATGTGCCGGGCCAATGGGGCGGCGAATACGATATATATAGCTAAGCTGGGACGTGGCCAACGGGGACGGGACAGCACGGCAGCGGGTAGTGTATAGCTGGGACGGTGGCCATCGGGGACCGGGACAGCAGGGGGTGTATTGCTGGGACAGCGCTTCAGGGCTGGGACAGCAGG